GATGCTGAAGTTAAGCTTGTGTTGCTGCTGGTAGCCAAAACTTCAAACACTTTTGTGATCTCTCTTAATATTCAGATGGTTACATTTTGATAAGTAAAATAATGTTCTTCTTTACTAATGGGTTGGTCTTTCTTTTCTCACATTCTCTGCACACTTGCACATGATGATGGTGTTTCTGACTCTGCACTGATATTAGATACTCATAAGTTTTTTAGTAACTACCTTGTCCAGAAGTTTGCACACATGGCAGCGAATCATTCTGTCTGTGCATACAAAAAATGTTGGAACTAGAGGAATTTTTTTTAATAACATTTAATATTTAATAATAAACAATTTAAATATTTAATAATAAACAATTTAATTACCAAATAATAAAGTTTACAATCACAGAACAGTTTTTCTTTTTAATCAACAAAAACTGATTTGAAAATTAAAGAAACAGACTAAATTAGATTTCATGAATTGAAACATCTATTAGTATTAAAAATAAACACTAAATGTTTTAAATCAATTGAAACAAGGATTTTTTAAAATTCTTAATTACATTAAAACTAAGTATATTGGTATCTGAACACATTATTAGTTTTAGCACAACAATTTATAAGGCTGTACTACCCATGTATTGAATATCTTTTTATGACACAATACTGCCTATGAGTCAACATTAAATGCATTTTTCTTATCTGTTATACCAGTGTTTTTATCTTCAAAATAAATATTGTCAATAAAATGATTTTAAAAGGTGCCATTCCATTGCATTCTTTGTAAACTTAATCTTATTTCTGATGATCTCTTTTCATATCTGCATAAAACAGTAATGGATAATAAGAAATTTGCACAAGTTTATTTTATTTAGGCTAAATGTGTATTTCATATTAATTAACCTAGTTTTCTAATTACTTTGGTTTTAAGAGACACATTTTTTTTTATGTTAAAGTTGCTTTTATATCTAGAACTCAAGATTATGCAAAACATATAAACATATAAATTGATAAGGAAGTTTGAGTTATAATAACATGCCGAGTAATAATTACTGAAGTAGCTAAAGCATTAAGAATCTGTATAATATTTATAAATTTGCAGAACTTGTTTTGAAGGTTTCAATATAAAATCTTCTTTCAACTGCAGAATTGCACATGATGAAAGAGAAGCCAGAGATAAAATGAGGAATGAAGTTAAGCTATTGGTGTCCTCTACAGATGAAAAATGAAAACAACTATGAAATAATTTTCTTAAAAGCTGAGGGTAAAAATTGGAATTGAGATCGTTAACTAGAACTGAAATATTTTTATGAATGTGAAATATCTCTAAAAAAATCTAATTTGTGAATGAAAGATGCTTTTTGAATAATTTTGTCTGCAGAAAAATGGTAACTATGTTTTTCTGGCCAATAGTGTTGGGCAATAGTGGATTTATGTGTTCCTTTTTTCCTAACATATGTCTTATATTCTTTAGAGAAAAATTCTAAGGCTCTCTTAGTTTGACCAATGTAAATTAAACCACATTGGCAAGGCACCCTGTGTGTACTTTAAGAGTTCATATCTGGTCTTAAGCATGTAACTGTGAATTTGATCTTATCTTATCACTGGCTTCTTTTTGTTATTTGCTCTTCTGCAGCTGAAGGAGAAGGTTTTATACTTAAACCTTCAAAACTAATCCCGCAAATTTATGAATATTTTGCTCATATTTGTTGCTTTCATTCCTTCAATAATAGCAAGGAAGTGTTTAGCAGGTGTTAAGAAATTCTACAATTTTTTATATGGTCACAAATCTATAATGACTAATTATAAATCTCTCTTGGGATTTTTTTTCCATACACCAGGTACCATATACCCATGTTGAACCTACACATTGGTATAAGTTGAAACCTACACCAGGTACCATATACCCATGAATGTTTAGATGGGCAATATTACTGATTGCTTATGATTTTACTTTGCTGTACTGATCAGGTAAGAAAATTCAAAATGCTGGTACATTAAAATAAACTACCAAATGATCAATCAGACCCTGAAATTCTTATACCTCTTGAAGTTCTATTTCCAGAAGGTTTGAAGATCCTCCAATATCTATCCAATGAAATAGTTAAAGCATCAGTATGAGATTCTGTATTATCTCGTATACTGAAGTAGGTATTAAGGGAATGATCTGAAGTTTAATCAGAACTGTTTAATCAGAATTTCAGACATACTATATAGAGGCGTGTCAAGAATTCTCACTAAATTCCCATTCAAGATTTTTTTCATTTTCAGCAACATCTCTGTAACTTTCTTGACTATCAGAATATTTTCTGGATTTAGAACCAACCATACTAGTACATATTTTACATTAGCTGATTGAAGAATGGGGCATTGTCACCACAATGGAAAAATTCTGTTAGATCATTCTCATTTGTCACATTATTTTTTCAAAGATTCCATTTACTGGAAAATTCCACTTTTTGTTTGTAATATTCAAAAACCTCTATATTCATAGCCTGTTTCATGATACCTGAACTCAAACTTCCTTATCAATTTATATGTAATTTCTTTTTGTATTAGCAATGTATCATGAAACTGGTGACTAATGATGTGTTGTCTGACCAAATTTTGTCTTGCATCTGTCGTGTACTGTCATGTCTAAGCCTGAATTATATTAATTTAGTTATTTATTATACTTATGTCTACTTCTTGCATATGCTTAAGACTTAATAAATAAATTCATGCATATACTTAAGGCTTATCTGAATAACAAATCAGTTATTTTTAATTCAAATAGCACTAAATGCAATCTTTTGATCTATGATTATCATTTACAAAATCTATTTTTTGCATATGGAAAAATATTTCTGTTAGATTTCTCCTCGCTAAAGCCCTCAGCACTTCACAGCATAATTGTCTGAAAGGTCACCATTCTGTTTGGTATTTGATTACTAAAAATTAAAAAAAAAAAAAAAAAAAAGTTGTTCACATTGCTGCATTATTCATTTCTTATGCTGCCATGAGCTGACAGACACATGGCAATGAAAGCAAAAAATAACAAAAATGATTGCCAAGTTGGCATCAGGGATATATGTTGTCTAAATAGGTGTAAAATCAGAGACGGATACTGCAGAGTGCCAGTTTGGGATGCATGCCAACTAAAAAGGTGACTACAAAGCCAAACTATTAAGATTTATGCTAATAAATGATTATGCTCTTCGGCATGGAGGTGTTTTATTTAGTGCCAAAGTGAAATTAAGATTCCTTCCACATGTTTTATTATGAAAAATGGCTACTGCGCATGCAGGATGCTAAAGCCAGACACTAAGCTTGGAGTTTAATTTTTCCCCCCTTTTCATAAATTTCTTACAAAAAAGTACTGCAGATTTAGAGTTACAGATATTGGATGCTTGGAGTTCGGACTCTATAACATATGGCAGGAAACTAGACATAATCTTGGAAAATAAAGTTGTGCATGTCTCATTTGCAGGATTATTTCATTGTGATATTTTTTTTTTAAATATTTTTTTTTATTATTGTGGCTTTAAAAGGAATTATTCACTATTCATGGAATTTTTAAAGTTACTGTTCCACACAATGATCAGCAGTTCTCTTCTAAATCCCATTCCTTCTTAAAAAAAAATACAATAAGACAAGTTTTTGCAGCATCATGCTAACCATTTTGAAAATGGATATGCTGAGAAAATGGTACAGACTACAAACAGACTACAAAGGATCTTTTAAAATGTATCAAATCAGATCATGGAAAAGAGAGATTAGTTAATTTCTTATTGAGACAGCATATAATTCCATCATCTACAGGCTAATCTCTTGATGAATAACTTGATGCACCTAAGTTATAGCTTGCGTAGCTTATATGTAAATCCTGCTCTGCCTTTTTGTTTGCAATCGACTGCACGTAAACCGGCTCAGTGAACTTAGATTTTATTCTTATATGTTGGTAAATTGTGTATTTTTTCCTTTAAAAGTGATTAAATTATGTTGCTCTTAAATTCCGGTTAAGGTTTCTATGCCTTTATTTAATCTGCATGCAATATTGTGAATTATAACAATTTAAAAGTAGTAGTACTAAGACTAACGAAGCCACCATTTTTGGATAAAACATAGTTTGATCTTATTGCTGATTTATAATCCAAGCAAGAGGGCTTTACAGATAAGGAATTAAAAAAGCCCCAAAACAGATACTTTGATCAAAGTGACCCTGTTTGTATTCATAGTTATGTAGACACCCAACATAGATACTAACAAAGGTTACATTACCTTCAAGTCTTCTATCAAAGCTAAAACTCTTTTTGGTGCAACTGTGAGACAATATCTCCACCACACGGATAGACATCTTAGATGTCTATCCGAACATCAACAATCTTCTGGTTCTTCTAACAATCTATTATTTTCTTCTCCAGACTCCAAATAGAGTTTCACTAAAGCTGACAAATCCTATCCTACTATTAATGAACAATCCCATGATCTTCAACATTAAACTCCAGGGCAGCCACATTGACATATTGTGAAACTTAAATGTTTTGAAGACTTTTACAACCTCAGGAAAAGGAATCTTACAATTTGTATGTACCACTTGGCAACACTTCCTTCTTCCTATTCTTCTATAATTTGTATCTGCCATTTGGCAGCAGACCAATTCTGAAATAGCTGTATTCTAATACTGATTACACGCTGCACAATAAAATGTTTATCATTAAATAATGTTTGTTTATGCTTGTCTATTAATTTCTAAACCTTATGACACATTGCTTAAGAAAAATAATAATAAAAAATTGCTTTCAGTTTTACAATAAAATATTTTTTGTCTAGATGACAGGATAACTAAGATTCAATTAATTTTTTTCATAATTATTCAAATATATTGAAACATTTTCAGTTGTAGAGAAATAATTCCACAATCATAATTAATTTTGATCATGTGATATATATATATATTAAAGTATATTCTTCACAAGATTTTATTTAAAAGGCAAATCAAAAATTAAAACCACACTGATAGAAATGCAATTCACTTACCTTTTTGATTGTAATGAAAAATTAATAATGGAAACAGGAATCTCTTTCCCATTTTGTGGAGAGCAAAGTACAGATTTGTTAATCATATGATCATTGATAGAGTAAAATGGATAACGTAGGCTTTGACGGAAAACAGTTGAAAATGGTATAAATGCATAATGAACATATAGGCTATTTGTAGATTCATCTGCAGGATCCATTGTCAGATTATTTTTTTCTTTAATTGTAGGTCTGCGAACTGGTTGCGATAAAACAGAAAGAGGAATAAGAGAACACTGCAGTGACTGTAAGGCATCAGACATTTTACTCAAAACTTCTGATTTAGAAGTGCTCTGTAAAAAGAATGTCATTAAATACTATATATATTGTGAACTTGCAATTAAATTTTTATGCAAAACTACATAATAATTTGTTAAATATAAAGCACTCAAAATGGTCTATTAATGTAACAAATATGCTAGATGTAAAAACCTGAATAAAGAAACATATTTTAAAAATAATAATACTTCTTACTCATAACCACTAAGTACTTCAATTTTCTGAAGTTTGTATAATCTACATTTTTAAGGGATTTCGAAGCTTTGAAACACTTTATAAAAATATTTATCAATCATTTACTCTTGTTTATTCATGCTTTATAGCAGTAAAGCATGAATGAAATAATCCTCATTAAATTTGAAAGCACTTTGATTCTGCATTCTATAATAATAACAATAACAATAAAACCTATTTTAAGTGTATATAAAGACACATAAGAAAGAACACAGAATATATGAAGTTATAAAGGAGTGACAGACTAAGTCTCGCTAATAGTGCAGATAAAATCAGAATTAACATGCATACAAAATACTGCAGAATAAATTAGAACTAATTAAAAAAGATGGTAGTGTCAACAGTAAATTAGAATAGCATTTTCTTAAACATTATGTGCAACCAAATGAGAGTGAAAATGTTTGCCTCAGAAAATAGCAAATTCACATTATGAAAAAAGTTTTTTTTATGTGTAATCATTTAAGTAACAAAATTATATTTAATAACTGTAACTTTAGAAATAATATTAATAAGTATAACACTGTAAGGACTATTGTTCTTACCCATGATAGGAATGGGAATGAAAATATTTCAGTTAAACTGCACCATGAGAATTTATTTTAGCAATAAAAAAAGCCTTATGTCAAACTTAAAAAATAAATAAATAAAATTTAATCTTATAATATTATGCAAGGAAAAAATTATATGTAAAGTTTTCAAATGATAATATGAAGGGCACGGAATGCAATCAAGACTCTTTCAAAGAGCCCGGAGGTCCTGTTAAGTAACTTAAGTAAGCAGCTTAAGTTCTGAACCTACTGCTAAGGAAAAAACTACAGAACTATTAAGAAAATTACTAAAGAAAATATCAATGAAAAGAAAGTTTTGAAAATTAAAAATAAAAATAACCCTCTGGTGGAAATTTCAACTCTGCCAAAATTAAAAATGAATTATTTCAACTGCTGCATAATGCAGAGTAAGCATAGAAAGAGTGTTTCCAATACTCTGCCGACTGATGAAACAATTACCAATAGTAGAGAAGTAAAATAGAATGTAAAATACAGTCAAAAGTCGTTAATTCGGACACCCATAATCCGGAATGATCTATAATCCGGACCTCAAAGCTAAACTTTCTGCGCATGCGGCGCGTTGACACATGCGCATAGGCGTTTACGCGTGCGTGTAAGACCTTTACGCGCACGCGCATATGCGTGTGCAAATGCAGAATACGTTTTCGCGTGCGTGTTTAACGTATAACGGACGGTATAAGTTAAAATTATACAATTATCTATTTCAGTTAATGCTGATGTTTGCGTTATTCCTTAATCTTCGAATTGGATGCAGCTTATTATTTTTTGCAGACTGTAAGAGCAATTTTATAAAAGTAAATTTGAACTTTCGATTATGTTAATTTCCGATTCTGGAGCTCCCAAAGGATCTACAAAACGAAAGTATGTCTCGATGTCTGTCAAACAAAAAGTGGAATTGCTGCAAAAAATGGATAAAGACATGAAGAAGGTGACAGAGAGGTTAGTGAAAACGAAAAAATTTTGATTGCCAAGTTAGTCGGTATTCTCGGCACAGCAATTTGACTGGACTTTAATAGCAGAGCTTTTTAACTGAACAAGAAATTATGTCTTTATAGAATTAAAGAGAAAGTATTATCACATAAAACGAAACAACTTACATTGAAAGAAATGTTTAATAAAGTAAAGTAACAAAATAAATATTAAGCTTCTTTTTTTTGTAAATTTTTATACCCTTTAGATCATAATTGTTCTTTATTTCCTAAAATACGGTTTCATATTTTTAATTTTAGAATTTGTGCATGCCATCTTACGAGATTTAAACTGATGATCTATAATCCGGAAAAATCGATAATCCGGAATCGCCGAAGTCCCGACGAGTCCGGATTAACGACTTTTGACTGTAATATGGAAATCCAGAATAGCCATACCAGAACCAAACAAAAGTCAAATAAGCTATCTGATTTTCCAATTAGTGAAAATTCTGGTACTGTTCTGTTATCAGGACCAGATCCAGAAATGTATGTATGTATGCATGTATAAATACAAATCCATGACTGTGTATACATATATAGTATGTACATACATACATATACATTCGTACATTTCTGAATCTAGGCCTGATAACAGCACATTACCAAAATTCCATCTGTTATAAACATTGTTGATCACACCAACAGGGCAGGTGGATGTTCCTGCATTGCAATCCGGCACCACCGATTACGAGACACCATTTGATGTCTTCAATTCATTTGATTACAGTCATATAACTTTTTACTGATAATTACAAGACCGTGAAGAAATAATGAAAATAGAAAAATACATTATTATATAAAACATACTTTCTTACTATGAATCTGAGCTTCAAATGTAATTAGGTATTGACAGTTTAAAATTCTGAAATTTCATACATGCTATAGACCTACGTATCAAACTGCAACTAGAGCCAGTTAAATAGCTGATTTTATAAAATGCTGTATCATTCCATTCTGAAATAAAGTGTTTTGAGAATAACTGGTAAATTAAAATTAATGTGCTAATAATCACAGACTAGCACAATGAGAAATTGGCAAAAATTATAGAAAAAGAACACTCAAATTTTTAAACAGAACAGAAAATACATATGCATAAATAATAATTATATGTACTGTATGTAATATTTGCTCTGTTTGGCCTAGAGATATCTTAAAAAAGTTCCTAAAAAGTTGTCGAACACCAAATGTCGAGATATCGGGAGTCGAGTTTGTGAGACTCTAAAACACCCTTTAAGCGTGTAGCGTTTGCTCCTGCGCGTGCACTGCAGTGGTCTCGCGATAGTAGGAAGGAGTAAGCGGGCGCGCTGCATTGGAGATATATTCTCTCGCATGTTACAATAAATAAAATCTAAAAAAAGAAAGTAATAACTAAGTAAAGACATAAATATACAATTAAACTTACATATATTTTCTAATAATTTCGTTGGGTATGGTAAATTTTAAAACATGGAATGTTACAGAGGGCAACTTCACAGTCCGGACACCATATTCTGGTCTCTTTTCTAATCTTCTTACCGTTTTTATTAGACGCATAGCAAACAACACATCGTCTTGTTGGTTCTCGTTTGCAGGGTGTGGCAGGTATATAGTCTGCAAAGTGCCTTCCTGTAAGACACAATGGATCATTTTCATCACTTTTTCTTCCTTTTTTTCCCGTCATGTCTGTAGACACTTGATATTTACGTAATATTTCTTCAATGACTGCAGTTCGAAAATCCAACAGTTTTATATTTTTGTTAGTTACCTTGCTCTGTAGAATCGATGAATTGAAAAGACATTGATCAATCATATGCCTGAAAATTTTTTTGTAGTATACTTTCATTCTTTTCCGTACTGTCTCATAATAGGATAAATTTTGGTCCGCTCTGTCCACACCTCCCATTGATAAATTGTAATCGATTACAACCTTTGGCTTTTCAACATCTTTTCCATTACAAGAAACTTTACTCATTCAATATTGTGGATTGTACTCAATAAATTAACATCTTTTTTATCTTTCCAGATTTTATTTTCACCAGAATGCAAAAATCAAACACACCAAAGTCTCCCCAAGAAATTATATTTCACTTTATGGAACTACTATTGCCATCTAGTGACAATTTTTGAAAACATAAGGATATGACGAGATATTTTCGTCAAACACGTTGAAATGCGGACTTTAAAATTGGATGACGAGTAGGACTCGTCAAACACGGGTACGGCGTAACACTCCGATGACGAGGTGAGTTCGTCAAGCACGCTTAAAGGGTTAAAAGTTTATGTGGAAGTTGCTTTAACACAGTGGAATAGTTTGTGCTCAGGCCTCTGGTGATTACTTGTGAATAAAGACTTCAGTATATCCATAGTGTTGTTTTGTACCTTTTCATTTGAACACCCCTAACATATAAGACTTAATTCAATTTTATTATAAAATTGAAGCCACATGTAAGGACCATGAAAATCCACCAATAGATTGCATCAGCACACGATCAAAAATATCTGTAGGTTATAAACTGAGCTGTTTCTTCAGATAAATGCCCAATGAACCTGGTGATGCGAAGTCTTGGGAAACTTTTTAGTGCAAAATAGCCCACTATGCCAAACAGTGTCCTTCGAGTTTATATATACAACATTAATCCATCTGCCATCGTGATGGAGATGGCTTTTTTAACATAATATATGCTCTAATGTGGTTTTACTTTAAATGCAATCGAATAATTAAAGATGCTTCCATTAACCTATGGTATATACTTTGCACATCAGTGATTATATGAAAGTCATCGTGGGTGGTTCTGTAGGAATACAAACGTACTAAAAAATTTCTAAAAATATTTAAATATCAATGGATTTATCCAACAGTAATTTAAATTTACACCTACCAAAAAAATTAAAAAAATTTAACTAAACAAAAATATCATTATTCTAATTTTTATTTCAAACGATTGCTATGGTGACAATTTTCAAATAGAAAAATAAATAAATAAACTGGTAAAAATAACTGGATAACTAAAATAAACTTCATACTAAAATATCTTTTATTGAAAGCATTTTAAAGAAAATTAGTTCTTGAAATTTTTTAGTATTTCATTCTACCTAAAATATCCCCCAGATATTTAATATTAAAACTATGCTAGTACGATGATGGTGAAAATAGTTTGGATCAAAAACAAGCACCATAACACATTTCATTGAATATTATTTCTTGCATTTAAAATGAAAATGTATTAGCAGTTTTTAACAAGTCCACTTTTCAGCTCAGGA